TTTTTTCCCCAAACAAATGTTCTAGTATTTTTAGGGTGCCTTAAAAATCTGGAGGTGATTTATCTTTGTGAAGAACATCCTCTTTGAGGGCAAACTCTATTCACGTGTTTTCTTTTCGCCATGCAGCTGCAGACCTTTGCAAACAAAACAACGGCGGGTGCCACAGGGCAGCCGAATGCACACAGCTCGGGGTGAAAGTCTTCTGCAGCTGCCAGAAAGGGTACAAAGGCGATGGCTTCACATGCCTTCCAATAAATCCTTGTGCTGATGGGTTCAACGGTGGCTGCCATGAGCACGCCATTTGCACCGTCATAGGACCTGTAAGTTGAATGATTTCAGTCACCAGCAAGGAACTTTTTCCTGGTGCCAGCAGAAGTCTTTTCTCTGGCTGGATCACCCTCTGTACCTCTCAAAGTTCCTGTTTTCCAAAATAACCTTTACATGGCTCCAGACTGTTTTCCACACCAGTTTGTTATCCTTTCAGCTGAGGTGTGAGAAACAGTTTGACATCTTTGCTCTAGGGAAAGGGGTGCTATAGCAGCAGATGCGATATTTTTCATGTGTAATTTTTCTGTTCTCTTCATAACTCTCCCTAACTGGATATCCCTATTTGCAATGGGAGTTTGTTGGATTGAAACAGAATATATTTTGGGAGTTAAATGTAGGGACAGCTGGGAGAATGGTGTCACTTGTTAGTTGGCCAGACTCGGCTTAAAAAGCTCTGCAGCCAAATTGTACAAATTCCTTGGCCTGCACAGTCAATGTTGTTGAAGAAAACTTGTGGTGGTGACTTGATCCAGCATTTGTCCTGGTGCTTTCAGGATCACTTGTCCATTCCGTGTTGGTGGCTTGCCTGATATATCTCCCAGGAGCAATCTGGAAAAGCCTTGCTTCTAATCTGTTCCAGCTGCCAACCATCACAATCCCTGGATGTCACCAACTCCTGCTTGGTTTATAGTTCTCAATTTATTACTATCAATGGACTGCTAAATTCCTTTCACGTTCCTGTGCCCAGTCATTTAAATATCATTTTGATTGGTTTGCCATCCATTTTTGTTAATTGCATGTCACACAATTCTCCAATGCATGTTATTAGCTTTGTGGATGGAATTATGGTTTGGCATTAATTCAGCAAAGTACCCAAGCGCATGTGTAAATGTTTTGCTTAGAAGAATAAATGTCAGCGTCAGAGTTTGTGGTCTGTTGAATCACAGTTGTTAGTAGCAACCTTCCTGTTTGTCTATTCCTGGCTGTATCAAGTGAAATTTTTCCAACAGTTCAGAATGTTGCTTGAAATACCACTTTTATGTCGGCTAAATACTTGGCCTGGCCTTTTTTATTCTCTCTCTGACCAGGACAAACGCAAGTGCCAATGTAAAAATAACTACATTGGTGATGGGCTGAACTGCTCCGTGATGCAGCTTCCTCTCGACCGCTGCTTGCAAGACAATGGGCAGTGCCACCCTGACGCCGACTGTGCCGATCTCCACTTCCAAGGTGAGGGTGGCACACCGTGCACACCAAAGGACAGGGACATCCTCATCCCTGTCCCACTGCGCTGAAGCCAGAGGCCAGGATCCTTGTGTCTGTAAACTCACCCAGTCTTCTACCTATATCCCCTTGAAACAATGAGATGTAAGCACATTTAAAATTAGAAGGTGTGCTTAAATACTTTACAATACTGGATTTATGAAGCAACAGATGAGGGCATTCCAGGTAGGAATACTACCTCTAAGGGATCAATCTGTTCTAACTACATTTCACAAAATTGACGGGTATTTGTGTGGCACAGTTGACTTTGCATCCAGAAACAGAAACCCCCTCAGGAAGAGCTGGTTCTTCTCTCTCTCTTTGCAGATACCACTGTTGGGGTTTTCCACTTACGGTCCCCACAGGGGCAGTACAAAATGACTTATGAGAAGGCAAAGGAGGCCTGTGCCAATGAGTCAGCCACCGTCGCGACGTATAACCAGCTGCTGTATGCTCAGAAGGTGAGGAAGCCTCACCACAGGAAGAGATCCCCCAAGTGGACCAAACGTCAGCATAAATGGGGAGGGAGGAGCAAGGGGCTGCTCTGTGCTAACAAGCTTCATTTTCCCTCCTTTCCTTCCGCTGTGCCCCAGGGTATATTTGTCTGGGAGCAGTTTTCAGATGATTGGTTTCACGCCTGCTCATACAGCACTGAAACCAGTTGCAAAATTCTTGTTTCCAGTGATACTGGAGTGCGATGGTAAAATCAGACTTACAGAGTGTTTTTATGGAGGTTTTATTAGCACTTCTTGAAGAAATGTACACTTCAGAATTATGCTTAGATTAATTTTCTTTTTAATGTAAGGCTCCAGGAATCTTTTCCCCAAATGCTGTTAACTTAGCAGAGCCATTTCCATATTCTTTTCCCTGAGAGTGTTATAGACCAGGCAGAGTTGCTGTCAGCAGGATGAGCATCACACCTTGGGTTTGTAAAACTTGTTTTAGGAGAGTGGGTGAGACTGACTGTGCCTTTCCAGCTCCTTCTCGTCTGTGGAAGGAAGGAAGATGCTTACCATTTAGAGACACCTTTAGCAAAACGTGAGGCTGGATCGCAGCCAGCATGTAAACCTCCTTCTGCTGCCTGAGGAGATTCAGATTGCAGCAGGAGCTGTAGGTCCCCTGAGCCACACAGTCTAAACATTTCCCTCGGAGCAGCAAAGTCGGCAGTGGGGTTGCTTTCAGCACTCCCAGGGACTTCTTTTCCATGTTGAGCTGGTTTCTCAGCCCTTCCCATGCTGACAAAAGGTGGGTTGTCACACGATGGGATTGCACGTCCCTCTTGCTTTCACACCCACCTCTGATCCTGCCTGCCTTTGGGCTCAGGGAACCTTTTCCCAGGAAATCCTGGCTCCATCGGCCTGTAACAGGCAGCCACTGACTTTCAGGAAGGCCCCCTCTCTGCATGCCCTTGGCACAGAGCTCAGCACAGGGCAGGCTGCAGGATGGACATACAGAGCCTGCTCAGACCCTCAGAAAGAAGACTGGTGGGTTGGTTGCTGCCTGAGGGCCCCAGGGGGATTGTCCCTTTCCTCAGCAGCACCCCAGCCCCACCACCCAGCTCTTCCCCCCATGTTTTTTCCTTTTGGCTGTGCTGGCTGCAGGCGAGGTACCACCTGTGCGCTGCTGGCTGGCTAGATGGCCAGAGGGTGGGCTACCCAACTGCCTTCTCGTCCCCAAACTGCGGCTCCGGGTACGTTGGCATTGTGGACTATGGAAAAAGAGTCAACCTGAGTGAAACCTGGGATGTCTTCTGCTACAGGGAGAAAGGTAAGAGGGTTTTTTGCTGCATCCCTCTGCGCAAAGGGGAGCAGCAGCCTGGATTTCGGTTCCTCTGGTCGGCCACAGGCTGCAGCTAACACTGCAAGAGACTCTGCTTCTTTTTATCTTTAAAAAAAACTGTTGCCTCCAAGTTGTTTTTCAGGCACAGGACAGCCTAAAGCCTTCTAGCAAAGGGCGTTTGCCCACCCGTCTCCCTGTGTTTGTACCTTCCAGAGGTGAACTGCACCTGCAAGCCGGGCTACGTGGGGGATGGCTCCTCCTGCAGCGGGAACTTGCTGCAAGTGCTGACGTCCTTCCCAACGCTGACCAACTTCTTGTCGGTACGGCCCACAGCTGCCGCGCTGCTGGCTCAGGTGGCTCTGCCAGCAGGTTGTATCTCAGTGTTTGCTTTACTAGCCAGTAACAACACCACACCAGCAAAGCATGGTGGAGTGGTCTAAATCCGCACTGTTGAGATCAGAACTTAGTTGCTTTTATTTTTTTAATTACTTGCTCCAAAGAGGTTTCGGGGTTTTTTTAAATTCATTTAGAAATGAAATGCTACTGCAGCTTTAGCCTAAAGAGGATTCTGTGCACAGCTGCTCCTGGCTTTCTAAGCATCACGAGGAGCATGGTGCTTTTTTGTAATTTTATTGAATCGCTGCTGGCGAAAAAGGCAAAGCATTAAAAGGGTCCCTTTCTTGCCACTACTCAGAAAGGCATTGTATGTGTAAGGAACCTTACAGACAACAAGAGCCCAACTCCTGCAAGTCCATTTAAGATGCACTCACCAAATCAGCAGCTAAAATTGGGTTTTGAATACAAACTTCTTCCATAATATCACTCCAGAGTTGCTTCATGGCTATTAATGGAAAGCTACTTTGTTGTTATTTATACATTTATTTGTATAATATTTATATTTGTTGTTATTTATACATTCTCAACTTTTCAGCTCCCCACACAGCAGAGCACAATTGCTCTTTAGTAAAGCTGAATTTTGTTTCTGCCTAGGACATCATGGCTTACTCTAACAGCTCTAGGAAGGGGAGGGAGTTCCTGCGGTACCTCACAGACCTGTCAGTGCACGCCACTCTCTTTGCTCCAAACGATAGCGGGTTAAGGGAAAATGAGGTCAGAGTTTCTTTCTTTTTTCCTTCCTCATTTTAATAACACTTTTTAAATAGCCATTATGGGTTTCTGTATCCCAGTGAAATTTAAGGGTTTTTTTAAAAAACAAAGTCTTTGCACGACCTAACTTCTGTGTAAACCCACATAGTTTCAACTGTGCTTCTAAAAGAGGTGAGTTCATCATTTCCATTTCTTTTCCATAGTTAGGAGTGAAAGGTTATCAAGTGTTTGAGTCACTACAGAGACTCTTCCATCAGGGATTTTACTTACCTAGGTAAAAAGGAGTCTGCCTGAGTTGAAGCCTTCTCTGGCTTATTAGCATCAGGTACAGTTATCTGAAGAAAGCAGTGCATGACTTTTGTATTTCCCACAAATACATTAAAGACATCTGTTCCTAGCTTCATTTTTGTGCTTATCCCTTCCTTCTTCCTTCCTTCTGTCAAACATTGTCTTAATTCACCTGGGTTTATGCCTTGGCTTGCATCTTCAAGCTGTTTGGAATATCTCTGAGACTCATCACTTCAGGCCATCATACAAAAGAGTGAAGTTCTTTGTCCCACCAGAACCAAAGCACTGCCTGCTGCAGGAAGCTGTCAGAGGCCAGTGGGGACAGAGGATCCCACTGTTTGCATCCAGATTTCCCAAAAGCCTCTACCCCATATTGCACTTTCTGCAGTATTAATAGCAAAGAGGTCACAGGCACATAGCCTGCTGGTAAATCCAGAGGATTAACGAGATCAGTTAACGCTCCTTGTATTTTGCTCTCGTTTGCAGACACTTTCTGGGCGAGACATCGAGTATCATTTATCTAATGTCAGTGTCATGTTTTATGAGGACCTGACCAACGGAACCACCCTCCTAACTCGTCTAGGGGAAAAACTCCTCATTACAAACACCGGGGGCCAGGAACATCAAGCCCCCACTGCTGAACAGGTATCTTTTTAATAAATTTCCCATCTTTGTGCTTTTTCCCCTCTTATTCTATACCCTATAATGGAGTGGTATGCTGATCCAGAGAGCAATTCAGTAAAATTATAGTGGGCAGCAATGAGGGGCTGACTCCAGAAGGCTCCTTCCTGCCCAGAAGCTGCAGGAGAGCAGCTGGCAAACTGCAAATTTATAAGTTTGCAAATGTCCAAGCTCTGACCCTCAGAACTTGAAGGAAGCTGCTCCTGTGGCCTGCAGGAACAGCAGGATGGGGACACGGGCTTGATTGAACACTTTGCTCAGCCTGGTAGGATTATGAGAGATGGCAGTGCTACAGGAGGAGAGACAAAGGCAGCAGCTTCTCATAAAAGAAAAGCATTGGCATTTGTAAAGCTAATTTTAAAGGTAATTCTTGGGAAAGAAGAGACCCCAGCATAGCCTTGCTCAGAGCAAAAGCACACAAAACAAGTTTGCAGGTTTTTTATTGCTATCTCAGTGGGAATTTTTTAAATACAAAAATTTATATCCTTTCTGCACATGGAAAGTATCCTCTGAAAACACACCCAACTTCTCAGTTTTTATTAAGAACATACTCACTGCCCAAGCATTTCAAACAATCTCTGTGACAGCAGCCCCTCGAGACCAAGGCTGGGACTCTGCTGTTGGGGATGCAGTATCGCTGAATATGACAATAAGAAACCCTGTGTCTGTGGGCTTGCAGTTAAAACATGCTCTAGAGGACAGTGCTGGGCCCAAGGCAAGTTGAGTGCCCAGCATCAGCACTGATGTCCAGAAAGGCAGCAGTGTAAGCCCCCACGGGATTTTTCCTCTGTGTGGCAGTAACTGAGGTGGGGAAATAGTCTCAAGGTTTATTTCAGCCCCAAAGGCAGGAGAGGCAAAGCTCAGCTCTTATTGTTCTTTCTCCTGGCAGGGTGAGATCAGACACGTGGACAGAAGTGCTATTGTTGAGTGGGATATAATTGCTTCCAATGGGATAATCCATATCATTTCAGAGCCTTTAAAGGCTCCGCCAGCACCTGTAAGTACATAGTGATTTTTTTTTGGGGGGGGGAGGGGGAAGTGGTGAGGGGTGTCTGTGCCTTACATCATCCCAGACTCATTGCTGGCATTTATATATTTCAGTTACCCTCTCACAGATGCAGTTTCAGTTTAAAAGGTTATTTTGAAAGAAAATTAGAATTGAAGAAGAGGGTGCGAGTGAAGCTCGTTCAAAATGTTTCTGTCTGAACATGTTCTTCCTGCATTTATTTTTTATATATATTTAAAAAAAGCTCCATTTCATAATGGAGCTCATTTTTGTAATGGAGGTTTTGTAAAGCTCCATTTCAGTTATTCCAAAAAGATCTTTCAAGCTTCTAAGGAAATCTTGGGTTTGCATTTATTCTTACCCAAAACAACAAGTTGTTTTTAAAATAGATAGTTTTTGCCTGCACGAATCCCTGCAATGGTACCAGTTACCCAATTATCTCTCCCACTAGAAAGGCCAAAGCAAACAGTGCATGGCAGAAGAGCACAGTTCAGGAAGGCATGCCATCCTTTCCATGGAGGCAAGTTGAGTTAGCAGCTGCACTGCTTCAAGATGGAATAAAAATGTGCAGAGCCCAGCAGCAGGGAGGGAGGGACATTGTTCTGTTTCCCAACAGCAAAGTTTACTGTTTTGTACGAAAGGGAGGAAAAAACATTTCATTCACCTGCAGTGCAACTGGGATGTTTCACAAAAGTGATCCCTGCTGCCCCTGGGAGAGATGCGCACTGAGCACCTTTTTTTCCAGTACAAAAAGCTCTGGTTTCAGAAGTAGCTAACCAGCTGCCTCCTTGGTCCACAAGATTAATCCTGTTGATACTCTCTTTCTCGCCTTAATTTTGTCCTGAGCAACCCCTTCTCCTTCACAAACCACAGCCTTCTCATCCCTTGAAGCTCAGTAATATGCCTGCACAATTGGTTCACAAGAATCCCTTGCAGCCTACAATCCTCACAAGTAGGAAATGACACACTTGGGTAAAAGCATAAATTACTGCCTGAAAATTATTCAAAATAATAGGCAATTTCTGTCAGTCTACAGCAGCATGATATTACAGTCTTTAGAATACCCTCCACATACTAGAGGGCAATTAAATGTTTTCTAATATTTAGCTGTCCAGCTGTACCATGTAAATTATTTTGTTTTCTAAAAAGAGAAATAATACTTAAGACAACAATGTGATTATTTTTGACAGGGTAAGTTTAATAATTAGTTTTGTAGGCAGGAGGCCACAAAGCTAGGGCATCACATGGAAAAGCAAAAGTAAGAGCATATAAATTTCCTATCCATTTCCAAACACCTCCTGACCTCCCAGACTGCCAGCAAAGAGTACAGTGCTTTGGGGAGATTGCAGCCTGAGTGGCTGCATGCCCTAGGATCCCTCAAACTTCTCATCACCCCCAAAGTGCTGGTCACCCTCATGGTATCAGTCTACCAGGCCAGAGAGCTGCAGAAGGCAAACCAAAGTCTGAGCCTGGAGACATTTCTCCCCTTTAGATGAAATCCAGATCATGTGTGAATTTCTTTCAGTCCTTCACCTACATACATATTTATTAAAATATTTGTAAGATATTATACACAGCTTCTTGCATTGACACTTTACCTGCTTGGCTGAAGAATGATTTCAGGTTAAAGACGTTGCATGTTTTGGGGCAAAATGACCTCCAGAAGGCAGGTTCTGGGCAGCTGGCAGAGCCCAGCCCTGCACACCCCCAGCACAGGTTGTCAGTCCCTCTAACCAGTGAGGAGATGTGCCCCATCTCAGGCATGGTTTGGTTTGAGTCCTGCTAAGCAGGGCTCCGAGGATGGTGTGGCTGCCAATAGCTGGCAATAACCAGCACCTCCCCAGCACACAAAGTGGGGAATAAGCTTGAAGCCATGCAGAGCCCTCCAGGGTTTGCAGCACAGTTTTCCAAGCTGCCTTAAGGGAATTTGGAACCCATTTCTCCTCCACAGGCCAGTGAGGTTTCAGTTTCATCATAGCCTCTATTGCTACTTCAGAAAACCTGAGCAGAAAAGATCACTTAGGCACGCTCTGTAACTTCAAAACCATGAGCAAGATGAAACTGTGCTACAACCAGTGCTCAGTACCCTGAAAAAAAAATTAATTTGTAATTACCATCAAAAGGCTGTATTTAACCTTCTCTAAGGATCGCGTACCAGGAAACAAGCACAAAAGCAGTCCAAGACTAGGGCAGATCTCAAACGGACACTGCATGTGCTCAGGTGCTAGAAGGTGATCAGTGCCCACCCTGCAGCTCACTCACCCTCTCTCTTGCTTCCAGGCTTCTCTCCATGCCAGTACTGGGACAGGAATATTCTTTGGCATCTGCCTGGTTACTGGAATTGTGGCTTTTATTGGATATTCATACCTCAGGTTCAGGAAGAGAAACACAGCCTTCCAGCACTTCCAGGTAGGTGGCAGACAGGAACACAAAGCACGGGGGCAGCACTACCCCGGAACCACCTCACCTCCCAAACTCACAGCCTCCCATTTCTCCTTGCATTTTATTAAGCTGGAAACATTCCCAATGACTTCCCACTCAGACTGAGACAGGGAGAAAGGGGGGAAGGCTCACACACTTGGTCTTGGGCAGCACAGGAAAAAAGACAAGCAAATTGAAATTGTCAGGATTGAAAAGTACAATTTTTTTATATTGGTGAGCTCACAACTTGCTTTCTCTTAACTAACTTTGCTAGCCTTGCATAGTATCACGATGACGCTAAACCAGCCAGCAACAGCCAAGCTACTCAGACACAAGGGATGACCAAAAGAAAGTGTTACAAAATACTCAAAAATCAATCCAAAAGAAAATCTACCTAGAAGTAACCAGAAATTTCCTCCTATTCTAGTCCCTGCATAATGCAAATCGTCTTCTAGAAACAAAAAACAGGAGCCATAAGCCAGGGGAAATGCTTGTAGTTTTACATAGCTGCAATGAGAGCACTCAGGACCACCCTGGACCACCCAGGTACCTTTTATCCCAGGCACAACGTCAGGGCAACACTTCCTCTCCCATTCTTTGCTGAGATTTTAAAATAATAAGGGAGAGAAAAAAAGGTACCAGTGTTGAGTGACCTGAGATAATAAAACAACCCAAAGACACCGACTGAGATGATAAAGCTGGTTCAGCTCCAACACTTTGTTGGACACCAGTCAGTAGTGAAGGTTGAGTGCCCCAGTTAATACACTGACTGGGGAGGATGAATTTGAAACAGTTTTGTGTGGTTTTGTGTAGTCAAAAGATGAGACTGACGTAACCTCGCTGGACAAGTCACACCCTTCAAATATCACCAACCCCTCATACGAAAGTTCGTCTGCACTGACTCCACCAGAACCTACTTATGATCTTTTCTCAGTAAGTGTTCATTTTGATGTGAGATTGAGACACAACTGAAATCATAGTCAGAGAGAATGACTTTATGAAAGGAAAACCTTGGGGGTGGGGGTGGGGGGAAGAAAAATTAATTTGGGAAAATACCATTCAAGTTCCTGGCTTTCCTATCTCACCACTGCTAGAAATTAGGTTTATACAAATTTAAAAAGCCCTCCAATTTTGTCTTCCCTTCTCTTTGCTGCAAACACATTCTGCACAGAATCTGAAACGTAACAGGAAGGGGGCTGGGAAACAAGGGAAGGAAAGATTGAGTAAAGCCAAATATCTGAATAGCCTTGATGGTCCAATTTAGCAAGACCCTAATTTACATGCAGAGTCTAAAATCAAAATAAACCTTTTTGTATCCTGTAAAGGGTCTTGTTTGGTGCAAAAGGGTCAGGTGCAAACTCTACCATCTGTATGGACAAATTTGACAAAAAGTGACTTTCATTTCTTAACACAATGTTCAAACCTGATTTTCTTTTTCTTCTCTTTTTATAGGATTCAGATGACCAGCAGCTTGTGATGAGTGGTCCTCATGATCAGAATTAAAGACCGAATTTGGCATTAGCCAATTATAAAACACATTTGTATTTACACTACTGTGAAAAAACAGCACCTACATGTTTCAGAGAATAAAGTCACTTTACAAATTAAAAAGCAAAAGAGCACAGCTTTGTTTAAGATGCAGCCCATATAGTTAGGAACCCCAGAAGTGGTGGCTGTATCTGAGCAAGGCCAACCAAATGCAGATCTGAGCCTCAGCTAACCTACCCAGAAGCAGACACCTCTCTGTGAGAAGTATGACTTTCACAACCCCGCTATTTAACTGCTTTTATTCTGCACAGGCTTTAAAATGGCCTCAAACACGCTGCTAACTTGGCAAATACCCTAAATTTGCTAGCACTCCAGCTCTATGCTTTCATTTTGGCTCAGTTACAACTACAACTGGCAAGTGTGAAACAGAACATGTGTTAAACCTGTATTTTTAAACTTAAGGGATTTTTTGCTAGTATACTTTCTTGTACGAAGCTCAGCAGCAGTAAAGGCAAGCATCCTGTCTGCCCCACTCACCTCCTCTAGGTTTTTACCTTTCCTCCGACTGTTTTGTTTACATCTCATCTCACCTCACTGTACAAAGGGAAACAGTAACTGTAGAAGCTTTGGTAAGAAATACAGGTGATATGGGAGCATTTGACTAGTAATCAATTTTTACTTGAGCCATTTTTGTGAGAAGTGGACAACGAAGATGAACATACTCTTGCCTTCTCATGTCCACATTCAGTTTTTTAGGTCTGAGAGGAGCAAAAGCTACCTGCTTGTTCACGTACCAGATTTTTACCAAGCACATTAACATTGCGGTTCAACTGATGCACAGCAATAACAGCTGCAATTTTCACCACACTATCAGAAGTGAATCAAACCTGAGATTGATTAGCTTTCGTTTCCTTCCCTGAAAACCTTAACATTATAGCAAACTTTGAGAACACCACAAAAACCACAAAATAGCAAGAAAAAGATTTTCTTGCTGGCAGCAATAACGTTCTCCTGTGATATGCTTCCTGGTGTCTACCACACATTGGGGGCAAGAGGGAAGGTGTCACTGCAGGAGAGCATTAGTGACCTGTGAGAACACCCCAGGATGCCTCCTTTCAGAACAAGGTATGCAGGCAACTCTAGGGTCTTTGACACAGCCATCAAGCACAGGCAAGGGAACTTAATGTGTAAATACCTGGACGAAAAAGACAGACTGAAGCAATTTCCAGACTCCTTCCCTTGGCCCTCTGCACATGCCTGCTTGCTTTTACCTATAAGATATTAAAACATTTAGAACACAAACACACACACATATTTAGGGGAGTTTTCCCCACAGAGTTTTGCAATTAATACAACTCATGTTCTTTCCTTCTCCCCAGTTACCCAAAATACTGAGGCTCATAGGGATCAGAGATAAGTCCAAGCTTTATTTTTGTAATAATCATTAAATACTTTTATCACAAAATAAGTTCCACAGTTCATTGAACTCTGCTTTTAGTGACAGACTACTATCTTCCATGTTTTTGATAGAACAGAATGAAAATTTCTTCTTGCTTTGGTGTTCAAATGAACTATACTCCCAAATGAATATAAAGAGACACTGCCCTTTAAACATGCTCAAAAATCTCTTTGAAGTCAGTAACATAACAGGCTTAAAGTAATGCAGAGCGCGCCAAGGTGAAATCATTACAAAAATGCAATACATTTTTAAAAGTTAAAGAAGAGCATTCTAGCACTGAAAAATAAATAATACACTATAAAATTCTCACTTAAATTAATATTATATATAGTTGGGTTGTTTTAAAGAAATATAACCCTCCCATATTTTTTTTCCATGCAGCGTTGTTTATTTCAAGAAGTCATGCAATATAAACAAGATTTTACTTCAGCTGGCTGTTGTAACAGAGCTTTGTACAGAAGTTTGATTTGTAAGTTAAGAGCAAGGAAGTGGGACAGGAGGAAACCACCTTGAAACAAAATGTGTATTCTGTGGATAACATTATTCAACTCAATTAAACTGTTCCCGCTGACACAGGAAAATTAGGCAGACTGACTCCTAGCCATCTTCAAGAGAAGGAACATCACAGAGTTACAACGAACAAAACATTAACAAATTCAATAATGCAGAAGTGAATAGCACAGTATTATTGTTTGACAGAGAACGTACAATGGTTTGGGGTGTTTTGTTTCTCGGGGTTTGTTTTTTTTTAAACAGTGCATTGAAATCTCTGGTGAACAAAACATTAACAAATTGAATAATGCAGAAGTGAATAGCACAGTACTATTGTTTGACAGAGAACGTACAGTGGTTTGGGGTGTTTTGTTTTTCGGGGTTTTTTTTTTTTTTAAACAGTGCATTGAAATCTCTGGAGCAATGAGACATGCTACACACTTGTAACAACAAGTTCAGTTCAAGCTGAGCATTAGGATAAGGAATTGAAGGGAAATGAGGGATATTTCCATCCCCACATTTCATTATCAAGTTACGCTAAATATTTCTTGCACAGCCCCACCAACAAGTTTCCTGATAAAGCCAAACTAACTTCTTGCAAAACTTACAATTTTTCTTCCAGTAAATCAGCAGGACTGTCAGATGAACTTACTCACTTCAAGTACATTCATCTATTTAAATATACACACACACTTCAGGAGTGTTGCACATCAAGTTTGAAACAGGAGCACAAGAAAACCACAAAAAAAAAAAATCTGTAATGAACACTGTAATGACTTCAGACTGTTTTCAAGCATACAGGAAAACTACTTATGAAATTATGCAGGCTAGATTAGAATACACTCTTTACATTGCAAACATGCTTTTAAAAATATGAAAGATACTGCATATGAAATTCAATATAGGTACTGGCATATAATACAGACAGGTTAAAAAAAACACAAACAAGAAAACTTTTGGTCATCAAAAGTTTGTTTACCCAACAACCATGGTAGGAAGCAAGTGGTATCCCAAAATGAAGTGAAATACCAAATGCTATATATTTTGCTAATTATATGCTTTTTAAAACAGAGCTTTTAATAACTAAAATTTTTAAAATATTAATCATATTATGACTTCTAAAATGGCTGGGGTGGGAAGCACCAGTTAAAAATGTTTCCTTTGGATGCACAGAAAGGAAAGCATCCTTATTTAAAAACAACTATATAGCAGTTCTATAAAGTGCCTGTTTGAGGAAACACATCAACAGATGTTTTCCTTGTGCAAAATAGACATTTTTCAGATCAAATCTTTGGAAAATATATGCTACCCAGACTTTGTGTTCAGGTATTAGCTGCAATGGCAGTAATTCCATAAAACTTCTAATTTGCACGGCCACAATTATTTCACTTGATGCAAACTGTCTACCACCCCCAATTCGGCTTTGAGGGCTTGAGCTAAAAAAATGTCATCAGAAAACTCTGGGTTTTGTTTTCTCATTTCTTAATTTTTCTTTCAATTCATTTGCCCACTGTGCGTGTTTACTTTTGACTGTGAAAGTCCATTACTGAAGGCTATGTGAAATACATTCGCTCTTAGGGACAGCAAAACCACATTGCATACCACTGTAAGACACTTAAAATTTTAAAAAGCAGCATTTAGGATCAAACTAAAGCCTGACAGGTATCTGTCTCTGCTTTGAAATGCAAAATGCAAGAGCTCTTGAAATGGCTTTATTGTAAGAGTGGATATTTTAAGTGTTTTGAAACTTAAAAAAGAAAGGTGCCTAAAAGTTAACATACGGAAGCTGAAGCAGCTGAAGTTACTGCTGCTTTCAGTTTTAGGCTCAGATGCACCTACAGCCAAGCACTGACATTACAAGAACAGAAACTGCACAGAAAAGACTCCAGCAGCCTGAGCCCACCGGTGCTGTAATCAGTGCAATGCAGCAGAGCCACACTGACACTACAGCAGTTAGTTCAGTTACAGGTAAGGCTCTAGTCATGGCAGCAAGGAAAGTTCAAATGCATACAGCATCCATCTCGGTCTCACCATAAACTCATTATTAACTGTGTATCACTGACATACTAACACTGGATTTAAGATTTTCAGTGCCAAGAACCATTACAGGCTCCAGTTCAACTGGAAACATGGCCAGAACAGAGTACAGGTGTTTCTTTGAAAACCACAGGGCTGCAGAGTGAAATTTCCAATGAACAAAAAAACCAAACCAAACAAACGAAAAAACCCAAAACAACCACCCCAGAACACCTCCAGTCCTTCCCCTCAGATTGGCCCTCCCTCCCAGCCCACTATTATTTTGCTATTTTGGCAGTCCTTCATCTCTTCTGTGTGTAAGAGGAGTTTTCACATGTCCAAGCAGGAGAGGAGAAAATAGGTACAATGCTTATGAGAATGAGTATGAATTACATCTAAATCAAGATAACAGATTTTAAGTGACTTAAATAAAATACATGTACATTCAAAAAAAAATATGTTTGCTCATTTTAGAGAGAACAAGCCAAGTGCTTATTTGATCTGAACTGTCTCTTGTAGGAAAGGTATTCTGAATGTACCAGTGCAGAGCTGGTCTGACCAGCCAGGAAGTTCATGCTGCAAAGGAGTCCTTCTTGGATAAAATGTGTAATCAGGGTCATAGTTCAAGAGACAACTCAATGATGCCATGTAGATATCTGCAAATCTAGAGAGACGTCTTAGGAAATAAGTTGGATTCTCATCAGTTCTGAATAAGCTTCCAAACTGTGCGTTGAAGAAATTCCTGTTCATCTCCCTGTCCCCCGCAAAAAAGAAAACAAAGAGAATTAAGCAAACATACCTGCACACATCTCTCTACCAGCTAGCATCCAGAACCTGAAGCAAACAGTTCCTATTGCCTGTTCTATGCATTATCCTCTTGCTATTGCACTTCAAACCACTAAATGTACCACATAAGAAGTTTTTTCACCTCTTGTAGCCCAGATCTAGCAACCACAGTAGTGAACAGAAGAGCTTCATGCTTCTCCCACTAAAACCAATAGTAAGTTGCTTCTGATTTCAGAAACATGACATCTCTAGATTTCCTTTC